GTTTGGAATGGTCTATTCTTTCATTAGGGGTGTGTCTGTGGGCCAGACTAGTTTCGGATAATTCTACTCCTCATCAGTAACCCTGGACTAAAAATACGAAGAATTAAATTGTGGTGGAATACTACAAGTTCTTCAAATATCTATAGAATGATAGGTTTCTTTTTTTGTGAGTGAAAACAACAACTCCATTTCGAAGGATCCATTAATGACAGCATATGAGGCCTTACATGTTGAAAACCAGAGACTTTACAACGAGCTACAAAGGCTTGAACAGGAGAATAATAAGTTTAAAGAGGCAACTCAATAGATCTATCTTCAGTGCTGGAACTCTAAAATCACATGAACATTCTGATAAACGTTTTAACTAGGGTTACATGACGTGCTATTTTTTCAACTGGATAGTGGAGTTAGTGAGTGATTATATCATCCCATTTAATGATAGTACTATAGAATATGAAGTTTTACTAATTTTAATGAAGATAAGATTAAATTGTCGTCAACAAGACTTAGCTTTTTCGTTTAGACAGAGAGGTTTGTAGTTATGCACAAAGCTATAACTTGGGCTATCTGTGCTCTGCCCACCACGGTTATCGAAACCCAGTTTCTAGCGTTGTACGCCCGCAAACATACCGCTGTGCAACTGGGGGGAGGGAGGGGGCATAGACAGAAAGAATGAGCTGTAAGTGACCTACAGTGTAATTCAAAAGGGTCTTCCAGTTTTAGCAAGACAACTTGAATTTTTGATACAGTGGCTTGATAGAGAAACTTGTGTGACAAGGTCATTATTGATTGTTCAGAATTTTTTATTGAAAGACCATCAGACTTAACAGCAAGGGCTCAAACATGAAATACCTATACACAATGAACGTGTTAAGTGGGGATTACTCCAACCGGTGCCATTTATCTGTCATCATGTTGGGGAGGTAGAGTGTCAGACAAAATGCTGACACAAGAATATGGGTTTCTCAGTAAATTAGAATTTAGCGATCAAGTCTTAGCTGAGCAATAAGGAGGATAAAGTTGTTTAAAACTTTGAGTGATTTCTTTCCAATAACTTTGCAAAGGCATTGCGACAACATTGTTAAAATATGTGCAACATTCACAAACTTGTATGAATCTCTGGTAAAGTAGTATTGAGCTGATATATAAAGTAGACAGTAATAACTGATTGTATGTTGTGACATTATTGATGTTCATTATGATACTTGTGTGTCCGAGAATTAGGTGTTTGAGTGTTTTTAATCTAAAGGACATTCAAAGTGCAGTTTAAATGTTAGAACAATATATCCATCATATAAAACACATCTTCAATTATTATGTTTCTGTATTGTTGTCTGCTAATATGCATAAAATTCTAAATGTGTATATTGATGATAAGTATACTGATATGTATTTGAACCTAGTTATTTATGAAGTCTCTCAGTACATTAGAGATAAAAGTAATCATGATTACCTGCAATATAATCGTAATCGATTACACTACCGACGTAATCGTCCCATGTCTGATTGTCAGGTTTTATTCGTGACGGTATGGTGATGGTTGGCATCAATTTAGTGCAAGTTTTGTGCATACTGGACAGTACCATTTAGTTTGAGGCTTTTTAACAGCCCCAACACAATGCATAATGACAATGGCCCGGCATGGCAAGGTGGTTAGGGCGTTTGACTCGAAAACTGAGGGTCGCGGGTTCGAATACCTGTCACAACAAACATGCGCCCTTTCAGCTGTGGGGGCGTTATCATGTGACGGCCAAAAGAGTAGACCAAAAGCTGGTGGTGGGTGGTGATGACTAGCTGCCTTCCCTCTAGCCTTCGTGTAGCTTTGCGCAAAATTCAAAACAACCAAACCAAGCATAATGATACTTCTTTACAGAGCAATCGTTATTACAACATCTTATTGTTCTATGGCCTTGTGGCTTGCCACAAAAGCAAATCCCAGCTGTAGACACTGGACACAAGAAGGAAGATTCAATTCGTAGCTGCACATACAGCATATCTACAGATATCTTAATCATATGAGACTTTAGTGATATAAATAGCCTTTTCAGTAAAATACACATGCACTAATCTCAGTTAAATGTATTTGTAACTGAAGTTGTGAATAGTATTTGTGGGAAACCTTAAAATTACCATCAGTAATCAAACAATAACCTTTATTATCATATAATGTTTCAGGACGTACATCTCTATATGCGAAAGGGCATTTAACTTCTATCAGTACTTTTTAATCACAGCAAGTGCATGTTCTAATCCCATCAGGTGATACATCCAAATATTGTATGGATTTGGATAGAAAGAGGCCAGCTTTAGAGATGTTGGCATCTGTATGATGTAAAATTACAGTATCCTGATAAAATCTTAGTGCTTGCTTTTCCATATCAGAGTTGTTGTAGTTCTGAATGTACCAGAATAGTGCATAATAGATTTGACCAGGTTTTCTGGTGCTGTATCAGCTCATATGACAATTACATTATTTATTTTGGATGCTGTTATTCTTCCACATCTGGCCCGGCATGGCCAGGTGGATAAGGCGCTCGACTCACAATCTGAGGGTCGCGGGTTCGAATCCGCATCCCACCAAACATGCTCGCCCTTTCAGCCGTGGGGGCGTTATAATGTGACGGTCAATTTCACTATTCGTTGGTAAAAGAGTAGCCCAAGAGTTGGTGGTGGGTGGTGATGACTAGCTGCCTTCCCTCTAGTCTTACACTGCTAAATTAGGG